GAAACATCATAATTGATGCATATAATTACAAAGCTGAAAGGATTACGAAAGAATCGAACGACATGTATGATCAGTATATTCGCATTTATATTAACATCCAAATAAAAAAATTACGATCGATATGTAGCATGAGACATTATGCATTTATATGTATAAAATATGCTAAACATTTATGTGTTCTATATTAGTACATTACTATATATAGAACATAGACTTGGTGATTTGGATTAGCTAACATGTCAAATTTCTAACTTGAAATGAAATATCTAATAATAGCATTTTCATATTAGCTTGATATCACTTATTATTTATCAAATATTAGTTCGCCTGAATCAACTAAAAGTTCGTAATCGTAACACTTAGAGCGTATTTGTATAAAAATATATTCGCTCAAAATGAGTTTTTTTTTTTTTTGTTAATCAGAATTAATTTTCAAAAAGTGGTATGGTTAGTAGTGAGATTTTGATTTTATATTAATAATTAAAGTTGATTTGATGTAAAAGTAAGAGAAATGTAATGTGAAGTAATACTTAGTTAAAATTATGTGAGTGAATGAATAATAAATTAAAATTGATCTGATCGTGTATAAATGATTGGTTGATATTATTTATTTATAGTGATATATTAAGAAAAAAAATATGTTGGTTAAAGTTTGGTTAAATTTTGAATATAAATTCAATATGAATTGAATATTTTTATATACAAACACACTCTTACTTTGCAATAATTAATATTATAAATCTACCTTCTTATTATATAAGAAAATAGGAGACCTTCTCCAAAAGCGACACGTGGCTACATATTTTGCTTCCTTTTGCTTCTTTTTTTTTTTTTCTTTCCTGATTTTTCATTTTCTTTTTAAGATAAAAATGCTATTTCTCAATTTTCTGTTAGCGCCAGGAAGCCACTAGAAGCTCAATTTAATAAACCCCCTCATTTTCTCCTCCCCGAAACCCCAATTCCCCCACAAATTACGAACCCCGAAATTCTGATTCGGCCAGGCTCCCTCAGCCCCCGCCGCCGCGGCAGCAAGAAATCCACCTCCACCGCGTCGACACCTCCGTCTTCTTCATCCAAGAAGAACACAAGCGACCCACCAAAGCAGACGAAGCCCCGAGCACCCCCGCTGTTTTTGACCAAATCCCCGAGGTCGACGACGAGCTGTACAACTTAGACGATGGCGTGGACTTCCCGTACGAGGATCCGCCGCCGGAGTCTGGAATTTACAGAGTAAAAATGCTATATTTTTTTTTTTTTT